CCCCCGAGGCACTTGCACACCTGAACGCCCCAATGCAGAAATCAAAGCATCCCAAACAAGCTATCTTTCACTAGCCAGCTCATCAACCTGCCGGGTAACTTACATCAAAAACTTGCATGCATAAGCAAGACGGCTTATGCATGCAACTTAGCACGACGTTCGCAAGACAGCCAGATGCCCCGTTGACTCTGTCCACTCGACGCTCTGGCCCATGTGCAACATGTGCAACTCGGAGCGCCCTGCTCAGTATGCAGTTACTGCTGAGTGTACCGCACATTACGGTTGCATACTAGCTGGGGTACTCAAGAGTATTTCGCTGTGCCGGCAGTTCACACCGGCAGTGCAGCAGCAATGCCCTGCAAACATGTTGCTACCATTCCACCACAGCACCACCACTGCTACGGTACTTGGCTGCTTTGATCATCAAGGCTCAACATTCACCTTTGTGTTGAATCATTTGGTATCATACGGTGGTATCATACGGTGTTCAAACACAACAGATCACGATATAAAAAGCAACGCGGGTCGAACAGTCACTCAAACACCAATATCGCATATCTGGGCAAGCGATCGCAGTTTATAGCGCGAATCTTGTGTGCTCAAGCTGTACCTCCAGCAGTAGTACCTTCGCTGTGACACCTCTGCAGCCTGGCCTCGCCCACTCAGACTTTGAAATGGAGCCTTTCGCCATAGATCCTGATCCCACCCGTATAGAGCGGCTGGAGTGCATCGGGCGTGGCAGCTACGGTGACGTATATCGCGGGTGAGCGGTGGGGGCGTGCGCAGTGGCGCAGGCCCGATCCAGGCCTTGCTACGCGACGAGTAGAGTGTGGCTCAAATGGCGCGATTACTGTGGATCTTTACCCGTCAGTGGCTCAAGGCCGTTACGTGCCGCCCTCCTGCAGCATCGACACGCAGACCGGGCAGCAGGTGGCTATCAAGGTCATCGACCTCGAGGACATGTGAGCAGCACCCGCACCTGCTGCTCCGCAGTGCAATGTGAGGCGCGCCCTGGCTGTGGTGTGATGGTATCAGCAAAGAGGTTTCAGGGGAGGAAATTTGGTGCCTGTGATAATGTCTATCAAGTGTTCTCACCGTTGGCCGTATGCTCCCCTTCGTGCACTCCCGCACGGCATGTGTCTTCGTGCAGTGAGGATGACATTGAGGACATTCACAAGGTGGGCAGGCACGGATGGAGTGCTGCGGGCAGAGATGGCCTCATGAGCAGTACAAACATGATAATAAATGGTTGTACATGTTGGTCGTGCGGGGCCGACTCGACCGGACAGGCGTCGCAATGTGTGACGGGGCATGCGCTTAGTGCAAGCCGATGCTCTACCCCGCAGGAGATTTCTGCACTGGCTGGGTGCCGCAGCGACCACATCACGCGCTACTTTGGCAGCGTGATGCAGCCGGGGTCAAGCGAGCTGCTCATCCTCATGGAGCTGCTGGCCTGCAGCGTTGCAGACCTGGTGAGGGTCGGAGGGGTCCGGTTGCGATCCCAGCGGGGTGATACTCAGCATCAGGGGTTGCAGCAGGGCAACACAAGGAGGAGAGTGTGTATGATCTCCTGGGTTCTGACGGTGTGGAGGCTACACTTCGTCCCACCTCCGGGAGGCCAATAGAGTGCGCCCACTGCTGCATCGCATGCGTCCCGGCCAGCTGGCGGGATCCCCTTTGCCCGAGGCCGCTATTGCCTACGTGCTGCGCTCAGTGCTGGCGGCACTGGCCTACCTGCACGGCGAGTCCCGCATCCACCGCGACATCAAGGCCGCCAACGTGCTAATGAGCGGCTCAGGGGAGGTCAAGATCAGTGACTTCGGGGTCAGCGGCCAGCTGACTGGGACGCTGGGCTTCAGGCGGCGCACCTTTGTAGGGACGCCCTATTGGATGGCGCCAGAGGTGATTGAGAGCAGCGAGGAGGGCTACAGTACCAGCGCAGATATCTGGAGCGTTGGCATCACTGCAATCGAGGTTGTGGTGAAGTTTAGCGGGGGGTGGCCGGCCGATGCATGCGGCTGGAGCGAACTGCTGTCGTAGACAGGAGTTCGGCTTGCGCAAGTATTGTGGCATACCGTAGGTGTTTTTTAAAAAACCGGCCCCTTGATAAACCGCCCCCTTCTTGCCGTCGTCATCCCTCCCTGATCATTCCCATCCCCTGCTTGCCCCCACTTCTGGCTCCGGCAGATGGCCCTGGCGGCGCCCCCCCACTCTGAGCTCCACCCCATGCGTGTGCTGTTCATTATCCCCAAGGACCCCCCGCCTCGCCTTGAAGGCGCCTTCAGTGATGCTTTCAAGGACTTTGTAGCGGCCTGCCTGCAGGTGGGCATTACTGGGGGCCGGCGGCCCCATGACCAGCACTGGCTGGGTGGCACTCGTTGCCATGGGCCAGTGGCCGCCAACATCAACCAGCGCGCTTGCGTTGTGCTTTGTGTCAAACCATTCTAGCCCCTGTTACAATCCCCTGGTTCACCCCAAATCGCTGGTCGACCACAGAAGGACCCGGCCAAACGTCCGTCTGCCCGGGAGCTGCTGGCCCACCCGTTCGTGGCGGCAGCCACTGAGGCACCCCACGGGCTTATGCAAGTGGTTGGAGAGTATGCGCAGAGGAAACGCCCTGTGGTGCCGCAGAGGGGGCCATCACCAAGTGACTTCAGCCAGGTAGGGGCAGGGGGCACACAGGGTTTGGGGCTGACGCTAATCATGATAGGGCAGGCTCTGTTGCTTCTGGGCTTGCACGTATGACCTGTTTTGCAGCCGTCCCCACAAACACAACGCCACACACAGCAACACAACGCCGTCTGGCTGAATGCACCCTTTATTTGCACCCCAAACTAAGGGTACGCTGCCAACATGGGACTTTGGTGGCAACAAAGCAGCCGCCACAACGGGCCGCGCGGCTGCAGCGCTGGGCACGCTTCGTGGTGCTGAGCTGCGCGACCCGCGGTCGCTGACGGCCGGTAGCACGGGCAGCCTTCCCGGCTCGCTCACCGCGGCTGCGAGCAGCTTCAGTGGGGGCGGCAGCCTGCTGGGTGCAACCAGGGGTGCAGCGGGAGGGACAGGCACTGTGGCTCGGACAGATGGCTTTGTGGTGCAGCAGCAGCTTGGAGCAGGTGCGATGAGGGCATACGCGATATTTGCCTTGAGATACGTGGGGTGCTCTGTTAGTTGTCATTGTGTTTGGCATCAACGCTGCATGCTGTGCAGCAAGATCAAAGCTGCTCTACTTTGCTGAGCTCACATTCACTTGACAACTCCGCTGTGCAGGCTTCACGGGGACATTGCCCAGTGGCGCTGATGCAGCGTATGCAAGGGCAGCGGCGGCTGAGCAGCCCGGCGACCGCTATGGAGGCACGCTTCGCTCGGGTGCAGAGCCCAGCAACGCAGCAATGACAGGCACTGGCGCCTCAACTGCAGCCTCAGCAAACCCTCGTCGTCTCTCCAGTGGCGGCGTTGTCATCGGACAAGTTGGCGTCGGGGGCAGTGGCATCGCCGTCAGCGGGGGCGGGGCGGGTGTGGGCGCGCCAGATGGTGCGCGCGCGGTGTACCAGCGCCTGCCGTCGCTGGCGGGGCTCAGTGTAGAGGTCGGCCATGTGCCGGGCGGAGGGGCGGCTGCGGGCCTCCCTGAGGGCAGCGGGTCGGCCCCTGAGGTGACCATCCTGCGGCGCTTCAGCCGGCACGAGAGCGGCGCTGCAGCAGCAGAGGGGGATGCCGTGCTCACGCGCCTACTGTTGCCGGCGCTGCGGGCGCTGGTGCCGGTGATGGGCGGGCCCGAACAGGTGGGCAGGGGGGAAGCTAAGTCTGAGTGTGGCAGCTGTTTAGCCAGACGGTTTGGTGCACCCCACAGATGTGCATTGTATAATGTGCTGCAGCTGGTTGGGCAGCATTGGTTGCATTGCAATCACGATGCAGGGCAACCACGTGCATGAACACAGTTGTCAACATTCATGCACTTGACTATGCCTATGGCAGGCTGCAGTGGACGCAGTGGTGGAGCAACTGCAGCAGCTGGAGCGCCAGCTACCAGGCGGCAGCGCACGGCTGCTCTCTGAGGCCATGCTGCTGCTTTCCATCAGCGACAGCCCGCAGCTCGCAAAACTGGTGGCATCAGCCAGGTGCATCTTTGGCGCCACCACCAGCGGTGGCGCGGGTCCAGCGGCACCACCATCCGCAGCAGCGGGCGCCCTCGCTGGCGCCCCCGTGGCTGGGCTGTCGGCGGGCCCCAGCTGCGCCCCAGGCGCGGCACTCCCTTCTAATGGCCGTGCCAGACGGGGCGCAGGGGCTTCCACTGCCACGGCTCTCATGCCTGGTGTAGATAAGGGGACCGCAGGCACGACGGGGCCTGACCTGGGCCTGCTCGGCAACTTCTTGCTCGGACAGTGGCGGGAGGACGCGGCACGGTCAGCCGCAGCAGCGGCACGAACCCGCGTGGCATTGTAGCATGCGTGCACTGTGCTGCACAATGTGCTGGCCAGAACGAATTTCTGAATGAATACTGCCTTCTGGGGGCACACAGCATGTTTGGCAAGGCGGGAAGCCTCCTGAGCAGGCGGATGGTGCGGTCAACTGGACATGTGAATGCGACCCCACCTGCTGAGAAGCTGTGCAACCATCCAGACCGCACGGATCGTGGGGCTTCGTGGCAATCGGGGGTCACTCGTCTTCCAGCTAGCCGTGTCCGGGCTTGGCTCCGCTTGTTTGTCGCGCTCACCACTGTCGCAGTGATCTTGAGCAGCAAGCTCGGGGCTAATGGTGGATTTGAGCACATAACGGAGATGGCGATGGATGAGGCGTCTGATGGGGTTGAGGAGGAGGGCCCCTCGCCCAGGATCAGCGTCAAGGACGCCGAGGAGGGCACCGGGGACCTGCAGAGCCTCCGTATCATGGTGAGGAGGCAGCCTTAAACGGTGCTAGCGCTTCAACTAGACGCCGCTTGCTGATGCAAGCAGCGTGGCGGCGCGGTGGTGTTGCGTGCTGGTGTGCACAACGCCGCCGCCAACGTTCCGACCTGCTGCCATCACTCAGTCAGTGAGTGGTGCAGGCGTCGATGTCATTGGCGCCTGGCAACTCCAGCCCTGATGCAGATGCAGATAACCAAGCGTCCTGGCCTTCTCGCATGATTGTGTCGCAATCGCAGGCACTGTGGGTCCGAGGCAGAGGTAAAGGCCGCAAGGAGGAGCAAATTGCGGGGACAGTCTTGAGTAATCGCGACGCAGAGACCAGCGTCCCCAGCAGGCGAGGCAGAGGTCGCGGGCGAGGCCGTGGTGGTGGGCGAGGAGTTGATGCGTCGCTGGCGCCCTGGCGCATCAAGTACGATGACGACGACGTTGATTACGGCTTCTTTGGCGGCGGCTTCAGCACGTTTTACGTCGTCAAGCGCAACAAAACCGCCTACTCCAAGCCCTTGGCCCTGCCCACCAAGTGGCCAGGATGCAAGCCTGCCTGGGCGGAGGGCGCGTGCACACCACCGCATCACTCCACAGCTGCGGCGAAGACCAGGCCAGTGGTGGGCGGCGCTGCCGAGCTAGGCGGCCGCAGCGCTCAAGGAGCCCGGGGCCGGGGCCGAGGACAGGAGCGCAGCAGGGGCGGAGGTCGCGGCAGGACAGGAAGGCGGGACGCCAGCCATCACGTCCATGGTGGAAGCAGCAGCAAGGATGGCGGCGGCAACAGCAGCAGCACTGGTGGCCAATCTGCCGTGGTCACCAGCCACAGCGGAGAGGAGGACGAGCAGCACAGCTCCCCAGCCCCTCAGCCGGACGGCATGCAGCAGCAACAGCAACGGCGGAAGCGCAAGGAGCTGGAGCAAGGGGAGGGCGATGCAGGCGGCGGCAGCCCCGTGCCTGGCGCGACCCTGGGCCCGGCTGGAACATTTGTGGCGGCCCAGCTCGCCAAGCGGCAAGCTGTCGAGGTGCCTGCAAGACCCCAGCAACACTTGCTACTTGCGCAAGAGGACCATCTGGCAGCTGCAACGGCATTTCAGGCGGGTCTTCAGCATGCGGGTCGGCCTGCTGTCGTATCAGACGTGAGCGCCAAGCTGCAGCTCGGCGACGCACCGGTGGCTGTGCCGGCCAACACAGGGGGCGGCAAGCCTGATCAGCAGCAGCAGCAGCAGCAGGAGCAGCAGCAGGAGCAGCAGCAGGAGCAGCAGCAAGAGCAGCAGCAAGAGCAGCAGCAGCAGCTGCAGCAGCAGCAGGGCGAGCAGCTGCTAAGGCCGCCGGACGTGCTGCAGCAGGAGGAACGACGCACGGCTGTGGCAGACGAGCAGCAGGAGCAGCAGCAGCAACAGCAGGAAGCGAGGAAGGAAAAGCAGGACATTGAGCACGTGCAGCAGGCAGAGCTCCGGAAGTCCATACACCTTAATGGACAGCGTCAGCATCAGGAGCGGCAGAAACAGCAGGATGAGCAGCACCAGCAGCAGGCGGAGCAGGAGTCAGGGCGGCATGAAAAGCATTTGGATACCAACGAGATGGGTGTATGGCATCAGCAGCAGCAGCAGGAGCTTCAACAGCAGCAGCAGCAGCAAAGCCAGCAACCAGCTCCCCGGCACATGCAGCCGGCACTACAACAGCAGCAGCTGGGACCCATGCCGCAGCATCCAGGGCCCAAACAGGAACAGCAGCCAGCCCAGCCGGCCCCTGCTGTGACGCGCATCGGTGGTGTGCGGCGAATGAATCCCGCTTTGCTCAGCCGGGCCACCACCACAGCTGCCATGTTATCCGCCCAAAACGCCTCATCAGCCAACGGTAGTCTTCTGATGCAGCCAGATGCTCGTCCATCCCAGCACCGCAGCACCGAGGCCGGGGACAGCGATCGCAGCGGCGAGGCAGCAGACACAGAGGAACCCAAGCAGCAGCTTGCTGTGCACGGCGCACTGCCACCAGCCGATACGGCGATCGAGGAGGTACTGGCCAGCCTCACAGGCACGGGTGCGAGCATCAAGTCGTCGGCGGCGCGGTTGCTGGAGTTGTGTCAGGGGGTCGATGGCGACGAGGGTGCGGCTCGGCGCCTCGTGGGTCGCATTCTGGTGCGCATGGAGAGGTGAGCCCAAGGGTGGGGAGACGAGCAGGCACATAGGGTGAGCGGTGAACATATTTGGACGTCGGAACGTCCGACATCCGCTCTGGGCACCGGATCGGCGAGATTGATGCCCCGACGCATTTGCTGTGCTGAGCAAGATACCAGGCACACAGCTTACCCAGCGGGGTCCCTCAACACGCCATCCCAAGCTTTTGGACGATTTTTTTACAAAAATATTCCCCCCCTCCCTCCTCCTCATACACAGCGCCGCAGCAGGCGCGCCGCGCGTCAACCTGCTGTACCTCACAGACTGCCTGCTGTCGCACGCGCGTCGCCCCAGCGCCCCGCCCGCCGCGCGGATCCTTCCCGTCATGGTGGGGGCGGGGCTGACGCGCATGCTGCAGCTGGCGGTGACCGACGGCGACAGCCTGCAGCGCGTGCGCCGCGCGGTGGACGCATGGGGGCGCAAGGGTCTGCTGGAAGCAGCCTACCTGCGACTTGGGTACGAGAGGCTCGATGCAGCCGCCACGGCCATCCACGCCGCGGCTGCTACCTCTGCAGCTGCAGCCGCGGCGGAGCAGCAAGCTGTGGCTGTGCCGCAGCCGGCCGTCGCGCGCAGTGCCGAGGGGCGGTCGGCAGGGCGGACGGACAAGCGCCAGGTGCGCGCAGTTCAGCTCAACTTTCAGACGTCTTGTTGTGGCATGCATGCATCCGCTCTTGGCTCACACGCTCTGGATGCACTTGTACGCCACAGGCTAAGGGCGCAACCCACAACAATCCTCATATCTGCTGACACCACGCCGCCTCGACATTTCAATGACATGATGCCACCTGCAGCGGCCAGTCGCAGCAGAGGGCCGCCCGGTGCGCGTGGTCCTCGCTGCCCCACCCCGTGCCACCACGGAGACTGAGCTGCTGCCAGGATACCTGGAGCGGCTGGCAGCACTGGAGCGGGTGCGGGGCCAGGAGAACGGGCTTGATGGCGACCAGACGGAGGATGAGGGGGGGATCGCCGCGGCAGCAGCGGCACAGCAGTACAGGCAGTCCCAGCAGGTGGGACGCAGCAGCTGGGAGCTGCCTGAAGGAGGTGTGGCGGGTTCAGTCAATGGCAGCAGTTTTGAAGCCAACCTGTTTGGCCCACGAGTGGAAGTGGCGTGGCTGCTGGACCCCTACGGCAGCATGGCGGCCGGGCCCAGCAGCGCCCACTCTGGCACGGCACTGCTGCAGCAGCTCCTGTCCAAGTGCTCGCTGCAGCTTGCGCCGCGCCCGGACCCAGCTGTTGCGCTGCTGCCTGACCCTGCCGAGGAGGGGCTGGCCGACACGCGCGCTCCCACTTGGCGCGAGGCCATCGAGGCGCGCGAGCGCCGTGGAGGCGTTGCGTCGACAGCAACAAAGCAGCAGGATTGGACGCCGTGGAGGGCTCAACAGCACCAGCAGAAGCAGGGGGAGGATGAGCCGCAGCAGCAACAGCAACAGCACCAGCATCTCCAGGAGGAGGTACAGCCGCCGTGGCAGCAGGGGCTGCGTGAGTTGCATGCGAACGCTCCGCCGCCCTGGCAGCTCGCAGATGCCGGAACACTTGTGCACGGGGTGGAGGATGCAGTGTGGGACGAAGGTGGGAGTGGCGACGTGGGCTTGGGGCACTCTGCAGACTGGATCACCATGGTGCCCGCTGCACCCCGCCGCGATGACACTGCGGAGGCGGAGTTTCAAGGTAAGATCAGCACGGGCAGTACGGCGGGCTGGGGGGGCCACTGATCAAGAACACACGGAGCTGCGGCTCACAGGCCTCAGGCCGCAGCTCCCTTGCGTTGTGTAGACTGATGGGGTAGAGGCAACCAGTGCAGCTAGTAGCATGCATCGACCAAACGCCTGCCAGTAACGTCCTGCACGCAACTGTCACAGCTAGACCAAATCCCTTTCTGCAACGCTTCCTCAACCAGATACCTACGACTTTGCAGCAGCAGCCCAGGGCGCCCAGCCGCCGCTGCCCTGGGGCTCCCAACACAGCGCCTGGGATGGTTCGCAGCCCGGCACCGCGCCAATGTACGACAGCTACGACCCAGACCAGCCACCGCTGCCGCCTGAGGCAGACTATGTCCCGGGCGGCGCGTCCGTCTCGCCGCCGCCGCCGCTGCCGTCGGAATCCGGCGAGGACGAGGGCGAAAGCGGCAGCGAGGCGCCGCCGCTGCCCCCAGGGTCACCGCCCCCGCTGCCGCCGGGGTCGCCGCCGCCGCTGCCGCCAGACGGCGGCGTTGGAGGCGCTGCAGACACCCAGATGGATGATGACATACCTGCAGGAGCTGCGGCGGGGAGTGTCAGCATTGTTGAACAACGCACTTTTGCGGCATCTCAGCCTCTTGCTGTTGTGCCGCCTGCGCCCCAGCCGCCCCACCCACCGCTGCAGCTGACGCCTTCTGGACCGCTAGCCCTGTACCAGCAGCAGCACGCCCCGTACCCTCTGCCTGTATACCAGCAGCAACCTGCCGTGCCTCCCGCATTTGGCCCAATCGGGCTGGCCCCTGCACCTGGCCTGCCAGCACTGGTGCCGCCGGCTGTGCAGCAGGAGTGGGGCGCGCTGCCGCCGCCCATCCCGTCCGCCGTGGGTACCGGCGGTGTGGTGGCGCCCTGTCTGCACGTGCCGCAGGCGCAGTTTTTGCCCCCTGTGCCTCCGGGCCCATTCATTCGACCTGTGCAGCAACCTCTGGGGAATGTACCGCCTGGTGGCATGATGGCGCCCCTGCCGCAGCAGCAGCCAGGTGGCTTACTGCCGCTGGTCCCACCACGCCCGCCGCCCGCCGGCCCTCCTCTGCACCTGCCGGCTGCGAATGTGCGGCAGCCCATGCCACCCCTTTGGCCGCAGCAGTAAATTCCAGGTCACACGCATGTGCGGGCGGGTGTGGTTCCTGTCATCACCAGGAAGGCAGGTCGTTCCGGCTCATTTTTGTGCTCTAGGGGGAACTTACACTCGGGTGGTGTGTCCCACGTGGAGAACTGTTTTCACACCTGATACATGGTCTCTCTGCAGCGGTTTCCGATCAGGAATTGACTACTTTGGGGCCATCTGCCCCGTACCATGTACCGTAGTAACTTGTAAATGCTGACAGCAGCTTGCAGGCGCAGCTTTCAGGAGCAGCAAGCACAGTATTGAGAACCTCCAAACTTGGGGGAACTCTTGGAAGGCGCCCAAAGTGTGGAGCACCAGACACGGCGAGCCATGCTGTCATGCCGGCAGCGCGTCACGTGCAGGGGTGGAACGCGTTGCATCCTGCAGCTGTTGAACCCGCCAGGCACGAAGGTTTGAAACACTAGGAGCCTGCTGCGTTGCAGCTGGCCAACTGGCCGGCCCGGGCCACTGGTTGAGGATTGGACTGATTGCAGACTGAGGCTGGAGTTTCACTGGTCACAAGGTTATGGTACAGTATGACAACAGGGCAGCACGCCCAGCAGTCGTTCATGTTCCGGCACTGCATGGCGCGACTAATCACCAGACAAGGGGAGCGGTGCAACTGACGAGATCCCCCTTCCTGGGAGTGATACAAGATTGTTGATCGACGGGCATGGTGACCACCTGAAAGCATACTTATGCGATACGGTACTGATAGTCACGAAGCCGGACACGGCCTTTAGTCGTTCCATCCATGTCAAGTGTCAGAGCGTGCCACGTTGACCAGATCACGCACGCATATGTGGACTCATCTGCTTTATAACTGCACACCCACGCTTTATCATGTGTCTGGTGACAACCATGTGTTACCAGCCTCGCAAACGGGCTGAGTCCTGAAGGTCATTCGATGCCCCTTCACTAGAACGCCGCCCGTCCTTAAAAGCTATGCTAAACAAAGGTTCCGAGTTGACGTGCTTGACATGTATCGCTTTGCCGGTTGCCGGCGGAGTGCACGACGCCGCAGCAGCTCTGCTGCTCGCCGGACGAACATTCTGCTGTTGCATTGACCGCAGCAGCGTCCCTGCCGGCTCGCTAGGCGGTTTACCGCAGCTCATAGTTGAATGCTGCGGCCAACTGCGGCAGGATGCCAAGGGGAGTGTGCAGGCGCACTGCAGGTGCATCCCCTGCTGCACGCCAGTGGCTGCGGAGCAACACGAGCAAACGGAAGCACACCTCCATACGACGGTGAGCATCACATGCACCATGGACCTGTGCACTAGCTAGCTGTGTACATGACTCCAAGTGTTTGCATCCTTGCTTAGCAGCAGGTTGACTGGGGCTCAGTGTGCGTTGCGCGTGGTGCGCAGGTAGAGGACGACGCGGGGGCGCAGGGGCTCGCGCAGTGGGTGGCTTCCGCAGCAAAGGCTCACGGGCAGCACATCTTCGTGCAGCTGCTGACGCCTGACGCCCCAGGTGCGCTCAAACCAAGGCTTGAACCTTGAAGCTTGTTAGTGTCACCGCCGCTGGGCCGCACTGTTGAAGACAACTTTCATTTGCTTTGCAGCAAGCAATAAAAGGGCCCACTTACGCAACACATTTCACAGACAGCTCAAATCTTACCCTGGTGGGCCTGGATGAGGGCGGTGCCGAGGGCACGCTGCTGCAGCTTGCCAGCCAGCTGCGCCAGGCAAAAAGGCGCAGCAACAACGAAGGGGGTTTTGGTAGATTAGATGGTGGCGGGGCAGACGGTGGGGTGCAAGCTGTTGCTGCTACTGGCGGTAATTATCTCCTGCTAGAAGCAGCACAGGCAGATCGAATTGTGTTCGCGACATTTGCTGGCGGCGGCACCAGCGCAGCTGAGCAGGCCGATAGAGAACTGTTGCAGCAGCTCCTGCAGGAGTGCAGTTTTCTCGGTGGCGCGGGTTCCGGCGGCACAACAAGCGACTCGACAGTTGGCGAGCTGCACGAGGCAATGGCCAGGCGGCACGAGCCCAGCGGCTGCTCTGCACTGGCAGGGCCTAATCATCTTGTAGAGCTGCTGACACAGCAGCTGTACACAGCGCAAGCTGAGACCGACCGCCTGCACACGCACTACTTGGGTCTCCTGGACTCACTAGCCGGGCCAAACTGGAGCTGCGACCTTCAGGTCATTGAGCGGCCTTCAGCTGTGGCATGTGCGGAGCAAAACAGCATGCACTTGGGTAGCTGTGGAGGCGAGGCCACTCGTGGGCGGGCGCCGGTGCAGCAGCAGCAGCAGCAGCAGCAGCAGCAGCAGCAGCAGCAGCAGCAGCAGCAGCAGCAGCAGCAGCAGCAGCAGCAGAGCAGGCCAGCTGCACTTGGCGTGGGCTCAACCGATCCTCCGGAGGCTCCGTGCACAGTCACTGCGCCACAGACGTCTGCACAGAGGGCACTCGCCACCTCGGCCAGTGTCGCGGCCACAATGCAGACCCGGGCTCTCGAGGCTCAGAGGGCACTCCTTGAGTCGCAGCTTGAAACAGCCAGGCACGCCCAGCGAAAGGCCGAGAGCCAGGTGCGATTGCAAGGCGACGTCGCAAAGTTCAGTGCGCATGCCCTGGCGCCGCAGAGGTGTTGTTGATCATCCTAGCCAATTCAAGTCGTGACCATTCCAGGAAGGGCTGTGCAGATGGGTGCTTTCCCACACGAAATACTCCCTCAACCAAAGGTGACGTTCTTGGAGGCTGACCTGGCAGCGCTGCGCGACAAGAGCCTGGCACGCGAGGGCGCACTACGTGCAGAGGTAAGCCGTACTTGTGCCCCCAAGGCGAATTTGCATATGCAACGCCACCATGGCAGGCGCTGCTCTGATACACATGCTGTGTGCTTGAACTGAACTTCGTTGCAAGCAGCACAGAGCCTGCCTAATATGCGACGTTGTCTTTGCCTCTTGCTTGTGACAACCAGGTCAGTCGTGCCAAGCAGCTAGCCAAGGAGCAATCAGCAGCAGCAGCTGAGCAGCGCGCAGAACTAGTGGACACTGTGGAATCGCTGCGCCAGCAGCTGGACCGGGCTCGCACGGAGGCAGGGGAGCATGCAGAGCTTTTTCGGCTGCAGGTCGGTGCTGCCGCACAAATCGCTTCTCAGCACCAGCAGCAGCAACACCAGCTGAGCAGCAACACCAGCAGCGGCACACAGCGCAGGTCTCAGGAGGTTGCAATGCAGCTGGCGCCTTCAGCTGGCACCAACAGCAAACCTGCAGGCAGCCCGTTTGGCAGCAGCGTATCTGGTGCCGCTGCAGCCACCGCCACAGCAGCAGCTAGCGCGACAGCAGCGACAGACCCGCAGCACATGTTGAACCTCATAGAGCAACAAGCGCAGCTTGTGGAGGCAGCACAGGCCCGGGCTGAGAAGGCTCGCGAGGAGGCGGCTGTGGATCGTGCGCTGGCAGTGCAGGCAGCGGCGGAGGTGGAGGCTCTGCGAGAAAAGCTGCGGCGCGAGAGATTGGCACGGCCGCGAGGGCCGGGGGCTTGGCTGTTGCCGCTGCCAGGCGATGCGATGGGCCCGGGACAGCAGCAGGTGCTGGTTGGCAGCCGCCCCAGCACGGGGGGTGTGAGTGACAGGATGCGGCCAGCATCAGCAGCGGCGGGGTCCTTGCGGCATGCATGGCGCACGGCTGGTAATCCTTGCAGTGCAGGGGTCATCCGCGGCGGGGACGATAGCCCCAGCAGCAGAAGCAGCACGCCCGTGGCAGGCGGTGAAGGCGTTGATGCCGGCCAGGGCGGCCCCTCCAGGGGCTCAAAGTCACGACCCGCCAGCGCCATCGATGCCGCATGTGCCGCATCAGCTGGAGGGATTGGGAGCTCTCTTAACGCTGGCCACGGCTCAAGGGGGACCTCAGCCGTAGCGCAGCGAGAGTGCGAAGTGTCTCCAGGGCTGCGTTTGAAGATGCAGCGGCGATGGGAAGAGGAGGTGGCGGCGCACGGGGAGCGGCGGGTGGCTGAACTCCAGGCAAAGGGGGCCATCGCCGCTGAATGTGCCACCGTCACTGCTGACTTTATTGGGAGCAGTACTGCGGCAGCAGGGGCTGGCAGCCTGCCGCCCGACGTGGTGGTCTACATGCGGCGCTTGGAGCATGATGCTGGCAGGTGAAGGATGCCGCAAGGCAGGGGACCCAAAACAGGCTGTAGATGGGTTGGCAGCTGACTTGCAAACAAAACTCAACCCTTGCCGTGCAACAGTGGCATCGGGCTTGCTTGCTTTCCGCATTAAAGCTTCCCACCCCAGACAACTCCAGCCTGCACATCAAACACAAACTGTGCCAGGCTGCGCGAGGATCTCGCGTCGGAGAGGGGCCGCTCCCGCGAGCTGACCGTGGCGCTGCGCGCGGCGCAGCGGGGGGCGTCTGAGGTGTCCCAGGCCTACCTGTCGGGCCTTGCGCCTCCTGCTGGTAGGCCCACGGTTTGGATGACGGCCGCGGGCTGCTTCGCTGCCAGCCGCCCCGCCTCTGCGGGTGTGACCGGCCGCGGCAGCAGCGGAGGGGACGGCGGCGGGGCAGGTGGCGGCGCAAGGCGGCCGTCCACAGCCGCCAGCAGGAGCGTGAAGGCCTCATGAGCCCAAATCTTGCGGGCCGGGATATCCTGATATGCTCATAATCCTTCCACCCCTGTCAATCGTTCTCGTTCTTGGTGAATCAATGCTGCTGCTCTGCCTTCAGGGCTGTGTTGTAAGCAACCAATGTGCGGGGGGCCTGGGCCTGCATCGACAGAAGGGCCGCCGCACAGCTTCGACTGCTCATGCACGCATCGCTCGATTGCGTCCGGCCGCCGCCATGCAGTATCCTGGGCTGAGCTCAGCCTTTCTTCAATGTAAATTTTGCCTTATAACGAGAATCCTGCATGTTGTGCTCGATTGCGGCTTGGTCATACCGCTCATCACTCTCACCTGCTGCACTGCACACCACCTCAGTCTCACTGCACGGGCCGCGAGCGCCATGTCACATGAGGCCGACAGGCCCCGCCTGCAGCATAGATATTTTTGATACGAGAAAACAACAACAATAGGCTTCTGTGCCAGATGTGATTCAACAACGAACCATCCTCGCGCCAGCCGCGCAGGCCAACCTCTGTGAGCGTCCGCAGCGTGCTTCAATACCACATCAACATACGTGACCATGTCATTGCTTGGGGTGGGCAGCACCAAGATGCACGGCGGCACAGCTCCCGGCGAGGATTGCGCCGACCGCCTGGGCTCGTTGCCACGGCGCTTGGCCGTCCTGCTGCTAGTCAGCGGCCAGACCACTCTTGCGGCGCTGGCTGCGGCTATTCGCGACAGCCTCCGCGCGGTGCTTGGATGGGTGCAACGGCGGTGCGCCGCGGTGATGGCGGTGCCCTTGGCGGCGGCAGCGGCTGCGGCGCGCATAGTCGCCGGCCTGGTGCGGCGCGTGCTGTCGTTGTCTCCAGTGGCGCTGCTCACCCAGCTGGTATCCTTACAGCTGGGGTTGGCGGCGAATGACGACCACAGCGACGGCGCGCGCGTCTCCGCCCGCATTGGCGCGCAGCTGGCGCTGCTCTTTGGGTCAATACGGTGTGCAGCTGAACGAAATGTCATGTCGTATGCGGGGCGCCGAGTGTGGCATTGCATTGGAGCAGCTGCTGGGCCGCGGGTGCCGCAGCAGCCTTTGTGGTAACATTGTTGCATCGCGGCAACACAACTCGGCAAGTGCAGTGAGGCAGACTGTGCATGCGTGCATGGTTGCGCCGGTGCAAGCGCGTGGGTGTGCGCAAAATGGTTCATGATACTTGCCAGCACGGCATGATGATCAAACCTGCGACCCTCCACCAAAAGGCTGCGGACGACCACGTGTGTACAGCTGGCACCGCCCAGCCTGAAGCCGGTGAAATTCCTGCTGCCTTCCACCAGCTCCGGCAGCACGCGCGGCGCCGCGCCAGAGTGTGCACCCCGGCCGAGCCCGAGGATCTACGGCGACGAAGCAACGACCACCTCAGCGGTCGCTTCAGCTGCGCATACTGCTGGCTCGGCTCAGCACCAGGCGTTGCAGCTGCATGGGGGTCGCCACTTCGTCGGCAATGCGCAGCAATGGCAGCAGGAAGCGGGCGAGAGCTCGGGCGCAACAGCAGCGAGGACGGTGGTGGCCGATGCTTCGTCGTGTGACAATGTGCTTCACCTACTGTGCAGCAGCGAGCTGAAAACCGCCATTTTGCGGTTTCTGGGGGATCAGGCTGATGGGTCCCAGGGTTACGTGTTGCTGCCCAGCGCGAGAAGCAGCGACAGCAGTCTGCGCGCCAGCGCCGTGGCCCCGCCACAGTCGCAGCCCTACTTTGGCTGCGACACAACGCTGGAGCAGCAGGTGCGGCGGGCTGCAGGGGTGGCTGGTGCTGCTGCCTTTTGGTTCTTGCAGGCTTTAATGGCAGGCTATATGGGGTGTGTGCTTGTACGGGCTTCTCACATGCCGATACTCCTGAGGCACGGCGCCAGACGCTGCCGGCGCCCCCGCCTTGTGTTGCCCGTGTGCCCCAGGCAGCCTCCGCCTCGTCCCCCACGGAGCAGCCGGCGTCCCCTGAGCTCCGGGAGCAGAGCAGCCTGCGCTGCGCCGTCGCAGCGCGGCAGCTCAGTGGTGTCTGCGGCGCAGACGGCGATACCACGCCCACTGGTGCGAGGGCAGGTGCAGAGGCGAGCCCAAGCAGCGCGTACGAATATGCAATCTGCAAGTGCAGCCCCCCCCCCCGTGTGTGCATGCCACACCAGTCAAATTTCACAGGCCCTGCCCATTTACGCACCAGGGTGCGGCTTGTGCATATGGGTCGCATGCAGCACTGTCCAGGGTGACATGCGCGAAACAGCCTGTGTGCATGCTCACGCCCCAGCCGAGCTTCCTCGCAACCCTCTGATGCCCCCCTCTCTCCACACCAGTTGCGCTTCACAGTGCGCGCTCAGTGCGCGAGTCATGCGAGCTGTTTGAGGGTCTTGGCGCTGTCAGGGGGCGCGAGGCCGCCGCGCCCAGCTCTGTGTTGCCTGGCCCCGTGGCAGCGGGCTCGCTGATGCGGGATGCGGAGGCGGGGTTCCAGGAGCCCGTGGCAGCTGCCGCCGCTGCTGCAGCGCTCTATGCGTCGGCCGCCCCGCACGGGCGCATCAGCCCCATCGCCCACCCGGCCAAGCACGGCAGGAACGTGGCGCGTCCCAAGCAGCTGCCGGCGGCCCCCTTCATACCCCCCATCACGCTCCCATCCATGGTGCTGCGCGCGATTGGATCGCCGGCATCGCAGGCCAGCGGGGCCGCACCCCACAGGTCCCCACCCAACAGCGGCAGCGGACTACGTGGTCTGCTGGAGGGCGGCGCTGGGGTTGCGCCGCTGTTTTGATGCAATGGTGGCCATTTGATCGCGTTGAGTTGAGAGAGTATAGCTGGATCGGTTCTGATGTTAGGCCATTTGAGGTTTGCTGGTGTCTCAATCCTGTGTACCGCTCTGTAATATACACTGCCTGTATGCACGCCTGTTTGTTGTGAGAGGAAGGTCGCAGGGGTGCAATGGGTGGGTTTGCCATCAGGGTTGCTCTGCTGTGCAGCAGGCCGAAGGGACAAGTCGTGCAAAGTTCGCTGCAGCAACATCAGTGCAACACACACCTACATGCACACACCCGGCTTCCCTTCGGGGGTACTGTGCTGCGCCTGCAGCACCGTTGAGAAACTGCTGCTGCTGCTGACTTGGCGGGTATGGTGATGTCATGTTGATGCCGGGTTGGAAGTCCCGGTTGCCCAAGTTGGCAGGCTCGAGTTTTTGTTGCGACTAATCAATTCTTTCACACGCCAATCTCAAGCTGCCCGTGCAAGCTGTGCACGCAGCTCGTCACCGGGTTTCGACGCATCAGCAAATTCGCCTTGTTTACTCAAGCCTGGCCACGACGATCAGCAGTAATGGCTGCGCTGGCAGAGCGGGTGAGTAGCTGGGACGACGTGTAGCGCGAGCGTGCACCCCTGATGAGCGGGCGACTTTGTGACAGTGCGTGCGCCCAAGCGCGGAGCGGTGTTCCTCTTGACGGTGCTGTTGCGATTTTACCAGGTCCGTGAGGCCCTTCACATCGGCGCCTTTGAGCCAACGTCCCTTGAGGTGTGCGGCGTGCGCCAGGGGCGGCGCGGTCAGCACGGGCACCTGTGCCTTTGATACTTGTCGGGAGGCCAGCCACTGCAAGCGGGTTCGCATACTTGCGGATGCATGGGGCATGAATGGTCTCACACCTCTATCAGCCCTCGCTGTTGTTACAGCCCTTGCTGTTGTTGTGGCTAACCCCTGCGTTGGTAATGGTCGTGGCAACCCTACCTGGTGCCTGGTCCTTGCGTCGCCCCCACGCTAGGCTGAGCACCGCATGCTGTCGGACTCTGATGACTACGCGGCCCACCTCAAGCGCCTGGAGAGGGCCGCCCGCCAGTTTCAGAAGGACGTTGGGGGTGCGTAGCTGCCAGCCCTTCCGTGCATGCCAGTGTTGCGCATTGATCACAATTGCCGCAAGCAAGACCAACCTGTTAGGGCACTGGTACTCCTGTCCTAATTGGGGCGAGAGCAGTTATACTGTCTAGGGTGACATTGCAGTGATGTTGACGCCTCCCTTCCCCCCTTTGGCCCTCGACCCCAGGCTTCCTGGACGGCACCGGCAAGTTCCTGACCGGCGCGCCCTTCCCCCGCCTCTGGATCCAGACCAGCTCCACGCAGGCCGCGGAGCCCCAGCGCCCGTCAGTGCCGGAGCGGCACGCGCACCTGTTCACCGCTGAAATGCACACGCGCCTGGCTGAGGTGCGCTTGCGAGGGTGGCGGGGCGCCGCAACGAGTGCGGCAAGGCGCCATGTGTCACTTCCTATTGCAAAACGAAACTTGCCAACGCCGGCTGTCGCATTGTTTCGCCGGGCGGCTTGCTTGCACACGCAACAGCGCATTCGGGCTAGTACCCTTACCCCTCTCCACGCCCCCCACTACATTTGTGCTGGGAGCTCACTAACCTCCTCTCCCCTCATCTAACTCCGCAGGCTGTCCCTGCCACACTGGCTGCCGCCATAGAGTCAGACCTGGTCAAGCCCCTGTCAGCCTGGATCACAGCCCACGACAGCGCAAAAGTGAGCGCGTGCGGGCATGTGTGCGTGCGTGCATGGACGCATGCGTGCGTGCGTGCGTGCGTGCGTGCGTGAGGGGACGATTTAACGAGGGAGGGCAGAATGGGGCAGAGTGCCGGCCATGTCGCTGTCGTCATTGCGGCACAGCTGGCGTCCCGAAGGGGCCTGGTGATCCAAGCGAGGCACAAGCTGCGGCTACACCCCGGCCTGTCTGCCTGGCTTGGGCCCACCTTGCCGGGTCCCAGTCATTGAAAGTTGGTCCAAGCAGCAAGCCAGCCAAGGCCACACGGCAGCATCCAGCGCAGCGCACATGCACCTCCATTCTGGCCCGCGCCTCCTCAGGAACGCATGAGGCACCTGGAGGGGCGGCGCCTGGAGTACGACGCGGCACGCCGCAGGCTGGAGGCCGCCGCAGACAAGGCCGCCACTGCGGAGGCTGGTGGCGCGCGCGACCCCGCGGGCGCGGAGCGGCGCCTGGGGCGTACTGAGGGCGAGGTCGAGCGTGAGTGGCCCCCTCATTGGGGCTGTGCCTGGCGGAGAGATGTGGGCCGCAAGACCGCGATTCTGACTGGCTGGCAACCCCATTAGGATTGCTTGGCGTGTGTGCTGTGCTGTGGTGCGTTGAGCTCACATGCGGGCCCGCGTGGGCGAGTTGGCCGTCTTCAACCTGGCCGAGTTCTTCTTCACATGCTTTTGTCTCGCCACATTCTGTGCCGCCTCTGCCCCCCAGCGCTGATGGTAGAGTTTGAGGCGGAGAGGGCAGCGCTGGCCGAGCACCTCACATGGATGGTCACCGCTGCTGCGCGCCTCAAGGTGTGCTGCCTGGGCGCTGGCCGCATGCCCACCACATGGTCGCTGCTGCTCTTGCTTCAGCTAGCAGGGCGCAATCACCGACCGTGATGCTGGCTACCTTTTGCTGATCGTCGGCATACTGCGTCACTGAGGTGCATATTCCTATCACCGCCCACCCTTCTCCAGGCGTACGTGGCTGACACTGCCATTGCCATGCGCAACGCTGCCACCAGCTACACTGTCCCTGAGGGTGCGCAGCTCGCGGCGGTGTGGCATCTGCCTGTGGAGGGATCAAGGTGGAGCAGACATTGACCAACAGCCTCGCTTTCTAAAGGCCTGCTTGTGCACATCCCGCTGCTCGCATCACCAAAGCCGCCTGCCAGGCGCCTGCATGGTTCACCCATTCCCTCACCCACCCACCCAGCTGCCTCAAATCAAACGGCCTCTTTGAAATCTTGCACCCTTCAGGGCTACTGGAGCCGTACCCAGAGACTGCCAGGGGTGAACAGGTGGGGGGCAAACCTGTGTGAGCAGCTGGTGCACGCACGCAACCTTCACAGTCACGGTATGCCCACCTGTTTCATGGCATGCGATACGCAGAGCGTGCACATGAGCTGCACACTTCACTATTGCACCTGCATGTAGGCTGTCGCGTGCTCGCCTCCGACGCGTGTGCACAGCACAATCTATACCCTTGAAAGCTCATGAAAGCACTCGCTGAACCCCCATCACGCAGGTGGCAGGCGCGCCGCAGGGCCCGTCTCAGCAGTCTGCTGCCACTCATACGGCTGGCGAGGCCGCCCCCGTGAATGTACACACCGACATTCCCGAGACGGTGCAGCTCGAGGGGGGCGTCAAGCCCCAGGGGCGCGGCGTAGGGGGTTTGCTGGCCGACACGTTCAAGGTGGCGTGGACAGGCCGGCCGGCTTTGGGGGGCGCACACCAGCATGGCTTGCCTCTGGCCAACTTCAATGGCCCGTTCACAGGGAAAGCAAACTCCCCTCGAGGGATACGCTGCAGGACTGAACCACCCATCATGGTGGACAAGCACCAGGTGGTCAGTTGAGTCCCGCCTCAAGACCGGCATGTTATTTGGGCACCCACTACAAACGGAACCTGCTTCTCACCCCACCGGCCCCCCACTCCCCCAACTTTACAGAGCGCCGTCGGCCTCCCGACCGGCCCTGGCGGCTCGGTGCGCCCCCATGTAGAGAAGGAGGCGGCGCAGGCGCCGGCTACAGGCGGCGCCGAGGGTGTGAGCGGCGCGGCGCTCGACGCCAGCGCCGTGGCCCCGACTGAGGTGGTTGTGGCGGAGTCTGTGGTGCACATGGTGGAGCCGCCCGTGACAGAGGCGGTGCTGCATGTGGTGGATGTACCGCCAGCCCAGGGGGCAAGGGCAGAGGGAGCGCCGCGCGGCGGGAGCGCCGGTGTGTATGAGGGGGAGGACGCCCCCTACGTGGAGGACGTGCGCGATCCGCGCCCCTACGCCAGCGATGAGCCCGGCGGCCCCGTCAGCCCCCGGCGCGAGTGCCGCATGCCTGACACGGCCGCACACGGGCTGGGCCTGCGCGGCCGCGCGCTCAGCCGGGACCTGCCCCCTGATGCTGGTGGCGCGGACCAGGAGCCTGAGCCCGCGATCGAGGTGGGCCAGGGACAAAGGGCAGGCTGAAACAGGGGTCAGGCTTCTTGCATTGTAATGACACAGCTGCCACAAGCCATCAAATGCAGCTGCCGCGTGGCTGCGGGTGCGCCCACGTGACGATGGTGTTGGCCGTGGCGCCCGGCCCATGCCCCGCCGCCCGGTCCCAGCCAACCCTCCCTGCGGTCCTCATTTCCCTGCCCCTGCAAACAGGATGCCGAGGCCAAGCAGCTGTCGGCGGTGGTGGCGCCCGGCAGCCCCTTGGCAGCGGGGCTCGCAGGCAAGGCGGCGCAGGCGGGTGCTGAGGGGGAGCCTGCGGGCGGCGATGACGTCGTGCGCGGCGACACCACGCGCAGCGGCGGTGGTGGGCTGATGGGGGCCATCAAGGCCGCCACCATGGGCGCTGTCAAGGGGATAACGGGACAGGGGGAGGGCGCACGCGGAGAGGCGGCCGCGGCGCCGTCTGGCGACGGCGAGGGCAAAGATGGACTGTTCTCACCCACGGCTCAGCTGGGCTCCACATCATGAGCAGCAGGGGGCTACGCCGCACTGCCCGGGACAGTCTCGCATCATCCTCATGGGGGCGTATGGTTCACACGAGTCAGGGCTGGGTGGTTGTGGGACCGCTGTCGCGTGTCTAGACACATCAGCGCATCAAAGGGTTTGAACGAGTTGATGTGGCTGGCTGTCGCAGCCGTTGCTGGTAGTGTACAGTGTAGGGGCTCGGCGGCATCCGAGCGTTTTCATGGAGATAACCGAGGTTTGCTTTCATTACCGAGGGGCTGCGTTTTTATAATTGCATGATGCAGCTTACACGTGTGTCAGGCAGTGTGGGTCAGCTGCAAAGCAATAGGGATGAGCACCACTGCCGGTGGGAGTTGAACAGGGTTGACCGTGGTGCATGCAATCATGAACGTGGCTGTGGAGCCATGGTTGAACAACTGCTGGTCAGTATGCCGCGTTGTAAACAAAGCAAGATACGCCATGTGACGGTGCGTGTGCGCATCGCGCTCAGCTGGGTCGCTGGCATGCAGGGGACCGCGCGTGCTTGGTTGGCCCCGCCCCGTTCTACTCAAACGTCAGCACCGTGCGCAGCGTCTTGCCGCTGTGCAGCAGGTCAAAGGCCTCGTTGATCTGGGTGAAGGGCAGCCTGTGGGTGATGTACTTGTCCAGGAGGGTGCCCCCCGCCAGGTACTCGTCAACCAGCTGGGGGACCTGGGGGGGGGGGGAAGGGTGGGGGAATTTGAGGCAGGGCCAGGTGTTGGG